TAAAGCCATTTATTTCTTTCCTTTTTCTTTGCTTTGCTCAAACTCTGAACTTCTTCAAATTCCCTTGAGCATTACTGTCATGAAGGGAAGTTGTCTGTTTTTAAAATATTTATACAGGAAGGGTTATGTGTGTGAGTGCGAGCCAGCCTGACCATCTTCTACATCTCGTCCAAACATTTAAAACCTATTCTTCTACTTCGCCGTAAGTGTCCTTTCCAAGGTCTTGCACGAGTCATATGAAAATCTGCTGACAGATAGATAAACGAATTTCTTTTTGTCATACCTTTAAATATCATGTTTTTTTCACTACACTGCTACTTGATTGTAAGTACATCATTCTCGCTGATTCTTAAGAAATATCACTAGCACTTCCTTTCTAATGGGTCGCTCGCAGGTGAGTGATGCCCGGAAGCAATGAGCTGGATTTCACTTATTTTTGTCTGATAAGTTTTTGTAAATGTTTTGTTTAGGAAGAAGAATGAGTTTTCTTGCATTTCTTTATTGTCTTTATCATCTCCGTTTCTATAACAATTAGTCAGTGCTGTGCCGAAATCTGAATCGACACTTTGACTAGTTGAGCTTTTCTCGAATTGCAATCCGTAGTGATGGTCAAATCATTTTTAAATTGTAGTTGAGGTAAAAGTTCAAGAGCGACCTTCTCTTATCTTTTCAGATGAAATGTATCTTAGACTGATTCCGTTGTTGACCCGTAACATGCTTTCGTGTTTTCGATCAATTCAAGTAGAATCTTTCAGTGTGCACCTCTCAACAGTGTTTAAAAGCATTTTGGAGCTTGTGGAGCTGTGACCTTCTATAATGCGTTCCCTAATCGCAGGGATTCCAATCCCATACCACTTGCTGAGCATATTTTGGAGTTAGTTTTTTCCCTCAATTGACAGGTCAACGTCTTTTATGTAACTGTTCAGTTTTACGCAGATAATTCTTTTCAGCTGTATACGCGGGCAAAACTGAGATTGATAAACATCTCGAACTTGGTAAAACATTTCTTGCGAAGGTATGGCTTTATTTATATCGTTTAATTTCCTATTTTGTT